GAGGAAGGGAGAGGGAGAAAGAAAGAGAACATCAATGTGAGAGTAGAACATCGATCGGCTGCCTCCTGCATATCCCCTACCAGGGATCGCACCCGCAACCCAGGCATGTGCCCTGATCGGGAATCGAACTGGCAACCTTTCGGTATGCAGGCTGACTCCCAACCAGCTGAGCCACACTGGCCCCAGCACAAGCTCTGATTCTAAATAGTGAGGCGTATGAGTAAGAAACAACTGATACGCTAACAATAAATGTTCTTTTCTTTGCCTTTTAACATAGTCCCAGAGGACTTCTCCTTGACCACACTGTCTCCTTCACAGGCGAAGTAGCCTAAGAATGACTGACTGCATGGGGCTTTCTTAAAAATAGTCCAGAATTTAAGCATGCCAGGAATTCAAATTGGCCTTAGCTGTAACCGAATTAAATTGCTGATATCATTTTTACTGAGTTTATTTATAAGATCATTTTTAAACACTCTAAACAGTGGTTCTCAAAGTGTGGTCTCATGACGTCAGCATCCCCTGGGGACTTGCAGATTCCTATGCCCGTCCCAGACCTACTGAATCAGACACTCTGGGGGTGGGGGTTTTAACAAGCCCTCTGTGGGGGGTAATGGGCAGACTCCAGTCTGAGAATCACTGTCTTCCAGAGGGTGGGGTCGAAGAGGGGTCAGAGCAGACCAGCCAAGCCAGGCACTGATTCTAGCTGAGTTTGGGGTAGTCCCAGACAATGAAACTCACACAATTCAAAAGGAACCCCAGGCCTCCAAGCCAAATACAGATCCCGCCTACAACATGTCTTTGTCATCATGGGAAAGTGATTTAACTCCTCTGAGCCTCCGCCGCCTTATCTATAAGGAGGGCTGGGGTAGGAAATAACAGGAGATTTTAGCTAATTATTATTGAACCCTTATAAAGTCCATTAACTGTCATCTCATTTAATTGTGCAACTCTATGATGTTGTTAGTATTATTATTAGTATCCCCTTTGAATAGGTGAAAAAAACTAAGGCTCAGAGAGGTTGGGTAACTTTCCCAAGGTCACACAGTTAGTCCCCCTCTCAACCATCCCCTGCAACTTAGAAATTGTAAACCTCAGTACCAAAGACTGTAGAAATATAAGTTTGTGCAGAGAAGGGTGGGGCCAGGATCCTAGGGCCCAAGCAGGCTAGGCATTCTGACTTTGGTTGCCAGCCTGACCCTGGTGGCTTGGGCACCACCAGGTGACAGAGCCAGGACACTGTCAGATCTGTCATGCTTTGAGATGACAGGGAAAGGGGCACAGAGGACAGCTCAGAGACAAGAAGGAGAAAATTGGTTCCTGACACATGCTGAAAGGGCTCATTACCCAGGCATCTTCCTTTCATGAAATGGCAGTGACACTGTTTACTTAACGGGATGGCTACTGTTAGCACCAAGGCCAAGAGCCAGGGATGCTGGGGAAACAGTGAGCCAAGAGACACGCCTTCGAGCGGCCCTTAACAAAGGACTTTCAGATGGCTGAGGAGCTGACACCAGGCCCGTGAGCACAAATATCTCTTCCTTCCTCCACGCTGCCACCAGAATTATCTCCCTACAGTGCAAACCAGAACATAGCACTCCTCACCTCAAAGACAGGTGATGGCTCCCTCCCCATAACCTCTAGAGTGAATCCCAACCCATAACCTAGGATCAAAGCCACCCATGATCACCCCAAACTGCCTTTCTGACCTTGTATCCCCCATCTCCTTCTCTGGGTCACAGATGCCTGCTGATGCCTCCAGGCCCAGCCAGGTGCATGTGTCCCCCTCCCCTTCCCACTGACGCATCATGGTGACACCTGACCTGATGTCATGGTCCAACAGTAAGTCCCTCTGTGGAGGAAAGGTCTGGAAATTTTGTTCCATGAAGTTTAGAAAGACAGACAGACAAAAAACTCGCTTGGTACTCAAGCAGCCCTTGCCAAATAGCTTACGCTTCCCAGCTATGCTGAAGAGATGGTGAGAATAAATGGATGCTGATTCATCACTCACTTTTGGTCTAGACCCTCTGATGAGCTGCAGGCGAGCTGGGACTCGGTCGTGTGCAGCGGCCCGGGGTTCTCACGCCACTCATTCCTGTGGGCAGAACTGAAACCACAAATCCAGCAGCGTTCTCAGGACATGGGCAGGCAGGCAGGATCAGTTAACCAAACACACTCCTTCCCAGACATTCGTTCAACAGCCACTATGCTAGGGGCTGCTGTCAGCACACGGACAGTCTTTGTCCTTTGGTTTTCTTTCCCCAACTTCTACCATTTTATTTCCTCTTCATATGCAGGGGTATGTCATGTATGTAATTAAAGTATTTAAATTAAAAATACTAAGTGTTTAGGCTCTTAGCATATGCCTACTCATCTCTACACGGCAAAGCAATCACTACTTTGATGGGGCTGACATGTAATTGCTGTTTAGTAACAGAGTTCTCATCAAAAGCCAGTTCTCACCAAATATTTTCTGTAGAGGGTCAGGTTGTAAATATTTCAGGGGTTGTGGGCTAAGATCCAAATCAATGATATCATGTAGGTACTTTATGTAACAAGAGAGAAAACAAATTTCCACAATTTTTTAGTATTTGTAATTCAAAATACAGTCAACTCTTGAACAACACCAGTTTCAACTGCTTGGGTCCCATGCAGCTTAAACCTTTGTTATCCAAGGGTCAACTGCACTTTCAGTCCGAGGCTGGGAATCTGAATATGCAGAGGGTCATTTTAAGTTACACGCCGATTTTCTACTGCAAGTCTTGGCACCCTCAATCCCCATGCTGTTTGAGGGTCAACCGTATAATATTATAATTAAGCACAAGTTTTTGTAATGTAGGTTGTATCAGTCAGTTTGGGATATCATAACTAGGAACTGGGAATACCACAGAGCAGGTGGCTTAAACAGCAGAAGTTTATTTTCTCACCATTCTGGAGGCTGGAAGTCCAAGATCAAGGTGCTGGCAGGGTAGGTTTCTGGTGAGACCTCTCTTCCTGGATTTCAGATGGCTGCCTTCTCACTGTATCCTCACGTGGCCTTTCCTCTGTGGATACACAGGAGAAGAGAGAGAAGTTGCTTGATTTCTGGTGTCTCCTTTTATAAGGACGCCAGTCCTTTACGACCTCATTTAATCTTAATTACCTCTTTAAAGGTCCTGTCTCCAAATAAAGCCACATTGGGGTTAGGGCTTCAACATGTGGATTCAACATAGAAATTTGGTGGAGACACAATTTAGTGTATAACACAGGTCTGGTAATGAGAAAAATTGAATTAATATTTGAGAGACCATTTCACTGAACTGGAGATCAAACATAAAATCCATTCCTCTCTGGTGGAGGAACAGGCCGTGGGCAGATGTGGCCACAGCCACAATTTGCCAGCTGTGTAGCCTGATCAATATGTAGCAGAACAAACCTTAGCTCTGGGGCCGGTGCTCAAATACCAGCTTTGTCTCCTATCAGCTGTATGCTACTGAGCAGTAGCTGAATCTCTCTGAACCTCAGTTTTGCCATATCTCAGGGGAAATAATGATTTCCCTAAAGGGGAGATAACTCTAGAAGGGGAAATAACTCTCTCTGGTTTCTGTAAGGGATAACAGTAATGAATGCAAGATCCTGAGCACAGTGCTGGACACAGCCTGACCTAAGGAAATGATAGCCGCCATCATCATCATCATCATCAGAGTTTTGAGGAGCAGGAGATAATTCCAAATAAAATCCAAAGGATTTTATGGGTCATTTTGGATTAAGTATGTACTCTGGGTAGGATGTGATGAGGTTGGCAATTTACCTCTGGTTTTCCTCCCAACTTAATGATAATAACATCAGTCAAACCCCAATGGAGGGATAGTCTACAAAATACCTGACAGGTGCTCCTCCAAACTGTGAAAGTCATCAAAAACAAGGGAAGTCTGAGAAACTGTCATAGCCAAGAGGAACCGAAGGGAATATAACAACTAAATGTAATGTGGTGTCCTGGATGGGACCCTGGGACAGAAGAAGGACATTAGGTAAAATCTAAGAATATCTGAATAAAGCTTGGACTTTAGTTAATAACAACATCGAAATTATTAACTAATTGTGACAAATATACCATATTAATGTAAACTTAAGAATAAAGAAAACTGAGTATGGGGTATATGAGAAGGCTATATTATCTTCACAATTTTTCTGTAAATCTAAAACTGTTCTAAAATTTAAAGTTTATTACAAAATAATCATACATGGGCAAAAACCCATTCAAAATAGAAGCTGGACCAGCAGGTCTCCATGTACCAAGGACGAAAGGTTGATCGATATGGTTTCAAATCCCATATTAACTAACTTTTGGGAAACTACCACTTGAATTGTGATGTAGAATCAAAGAAAACTTCACACAGTCTTCTGGAACAGCGATTCAAAGACTCCTCCCTTTTCCAGCATCATATCTGTATGAGGCCAGATTTTCTTCATATATTTCAAAGAAAACAACATTATGCAAAAGATGAAAAGTGAATGCAGTTACCAGAACCCAGAGGTCTTCTATGGAGCCAGTCATTAAAGAGATTTGCAAAAACGTAAAACAATCCCACTCTTTTCACTAAGTTTTTCTGTTTTGAAAAATAGAATTATTTTTTAATTACAAACATTTATGTTAACATATTGGTTTACTTTTTAATGAATTCATATGTAATTATTTAATTTTTCTCAGTTTTAATTTCTCTTATGGTAAATATCAATAGCTAGTACCCATATGAACAAAAAGTCTTTATACTCTTTTTAAGAGTCTAAAACATGCTGAGAATACAAAGGTTGAGAGTCAGTGTGCTAAACAAGTATTTATTTAGACCTCACAACAACCTACTAGGTAGGCAATTTTAACCCACTTTGCACACTGAGGAACAGAGAGGTATGGTAACTTGCTCAAGGTTACCCAGCAAGGAGCGCCTGGAGTCGAAACTCAAAGGTGCCAGTTTGCTCTCCTGACTGCGTTGTATCTTTGGGGTCCTCCCCCACCCCTCCAGGTCTGCGAGCTCTGCAAGGGGGCAGCACCCGCTGACAGCCCCGTGGTCTACGCGGACAGGGCCGGCTACAGCAAGCAGTGGCACCCTACCTGCTTCGTGTGCGCCAAGTGCGCCGAGCCGCTGGTCGACCTCATCTACTTCTGGAAGGACGGGGCGCCCTGGTGTGGCCGCCACTACTGCGAGAGCCTGCGGCCCCGGTGCTCGGGCTGCGACGAGGTGAGCCCGCGGGCTGTGCCGGAGGGGGAGGGGACCAGGAGGCCAGGGGGAGTGTGGCCTCGCTGATGATGGGACCCCCAGATAGGAAACTGGGGCTCGGGCCACACTTCATGCTCTCGGCCTGTTTACGCATCTGCAAAATGGGGCCAATCCTGTTTGCACCCCTGGGGTTGCTGGGATGGGCAGGACACACAGTGCCTGTCCAGTCTCGTTCTTGGCGCTGAGTAAATGCTCAGAAGATCATCACAGGGTATAACAGGAGGCGGGTACCTGGCTCTGTATCTATTAGTTGTGTGGTTACCCAGCTCCTGTGCCTTAGTTTCCTCACTTGTAAAGTGGGAAGGATAAGAGTTCCATCCCAGGGGGTGGCTATGAAGGTGAATGAGATGCTGAATGAAAACGCTTGGCATGGGCCTGACCAAGTAACTAATTAATGGGAGCTGCTGTTAGTCTTAGGGTAATGGGATATAATATGATATAATACAACATTAACATAATACAATACAGTAATGAGAGATGCTATGAGAGGGTTTCAATTCTTCAATATGGGTTAAGGCTAGAGGAACCCTAAGGTATATTAATAATGACAATAGTAATTGTGACAATAACAGCTACTGTCTGCATGCCTTTGGTGACAGGAAACTCACTCCCTTCACATGTGGCACAAACAAGGGCCTTCATTTTGAGCCAATATCTGCCTCCTACCACCTTCCACAGTTGGTGTCCATTTGAAGTTAAGGCCCCTTACCTAGTAACTTGGCCATTGAGCAATATTAAAACAAAAGGACTGTCAGCAGGCCAGGGCCACAGCCTCATTTTTGTGAGAACAACAGTATGTTCACTGTCATAGCACTCTACCCTTTATTAAGGGCTTACAGTGCGGCAGTTATTTGCTACGTAATTCATGTGGAATGTGCCATTTATACCTCACGACAACCCTCCAGGGAGAGACAGCCATTATCTCCATTTAACACGCGAGGCAAGTGCAGCCCAGAGAGGCCTGATAGTCACAGCTTTGACTTTGTGTCCGTCGGTATCCCAAGCACTTCATAGGCAGTAACTCGTGCAGTGCTCATGAAATCCCATGGGATGGGTAGTGTTTACATCTCCGTTCAACAGATGTGGAAACTGAGGCACAGGGAGATTAAGCAGTTTGCCCCAAGTCACAAAGCTAAGTGTTCAAGTGAAACTTAATACCCAGTTCGTGTTTGACCCAACGTCCGAAGGCACATCTAACAAGTATGCTATTCTGCTCTTTCTGAGTCTCAGGGTTCCTCACCATATGTATATTCCTAAGGGTCACTGTGTGCTCTTGCTCTTGAAGACTAGTCCTTGGCAGCTTTGCAATTGACCCAAAGAATATTCCAGAGAAAAGATAAGTAAAACCTGCTGATGGTGGAGGAACTTTCTTTCCATCTGAGAAGCTAAGATGCAACTGTGACCTTCACCAAATACTGTACATAGTGCCTCCCGTTGGTGCCAGATTTCTCCCCTGAGGCATGTAAAGGCCAAAACAAGAATCAGATAGGATGGACCACCATCCTCCAACTTGGCTTCAGTGCACTGTCTCTACTAGTTTCATTTCTTCTGCTCTCTTCCCCAGATAATATTCTCGGAGGACTACCAGCGTGTAGAAGACCTGGCCTGGCACCGAAAGCACTTTGTCTGTGAGGGCTGTGAGCAGCAGCTGAGCGGCCGTGCATACATTGTCACCAAGGGTCAGCTTCTGTGCCCAACTTGCAGCAAGTCCAAGCACTCCTGAAGAGCTGCCTTTCCATGGCTGGGACCCGCAGGCGCCCACTGAGAAGGAGAGCCAGGCGCGCTGAGGCCATCCCAAGGGTCTGACGTGACAGCCAGCAAGCAACAAAAAACAGTAATATTGTTTTCAGTGAGACTATAGAGACACATATATTCTAGGTTGGGTGGTGGTGGATCCTTGAAGGTCAATAGTTTCAAAGCCAGAAATGTCCTGAGAAGTCTTAGGACGGAGTTATTTTGTCTTTGTTGCTGTTTTTCCCAGCTACCAACTAAAGACACAGTTGGCATCCTGCAAGGGATGCCCAGGAGGAGTTTCCCAGAGTGCAGTTCTGAGTGATCGAGCCACGTAGCTGTAGAGTGCGCGTGCTTTTTCGTGAGGCTGGGAGCCCCTCCGGGAGAAGCCTGGGATTCCAACAATCGTTTGTTGCCTCCTTTCAAATGGAATTTGAATTTTAAATAAAAACGTTTTTTGGCATGATAAACATATCAATAAACATTTTATGCAGTCCACATACGCCCTCCTCTAATTATTTACACTGAGGCAATGATTTTGTGGCATCCACTTAGCCCGGTGACCCTGAATGCTGGTGCTGGCACAAGGCACTGTACATGCCGGTGCCTCTTCATCGATGTGTCTCAGCAGATTTCTTTGGAGAATGTAGGTCCTTGGAGCAGAATCCCCACCCCCAGTTTCAGGTTTCCCCAGATCACTGATGGAAATGGGGTGTACCTAACAGCAGCCTCCTGGGAACTGATGAGCTGCTTAAAGAGAAGGGACCAGACTCCACTGGACTCAGAGCCCAAGTGAGCAATGAGTGGAGCCCTCTGGGTGTAAGGCCAGGCAGAGTGTTGGGTTGCCGCCAAACACTGTCATGTGGGACATGGTGATGTGTGGGCAGACCTTAAGAAACACTAGATTTTTATGAGAAACCTGTCCATTTTTCAATTTTTCCAACTGAACATTGAATGAGCCAAATAGATTAGGTCTTAGGGCAAGGCCTTGGGGCGAGATTTTCTCTCTTTTTATGGATTCTCTGAGCATTTGCAGCCCCCAGGTCAGTTTCTTTTCCACAATTTGTAAGAAAAGACATATTTTTCTACTGCAGATATGTAGACAAAAAAAGACATGAGACCTAGGAACTCGCAGTCCTGCCTCCAGTGACCTTCTTTCTTTCTTAAATTTACCTTCTGTTGCCAAGTCTCTTGAATTTTACCACCCACATTTCACTCTCGTCATCTCTTATCTGCAATACCCTCATTCGCACGTGCTTTGCAAGTTCGGCCAAAGTTACTGCAGTACCCTCCCAAGGTGGTTTGCCACACTCCGTTTCCCTCTCATGTCTGTCTTCTCAAAGAGAAGCTGTGCATGTCGTCTCCCTCCCCCACTCTCATGGCTCCCCATCACCCCTCAAGTTAAGAACCAAGTTCTCACCCTGATGTTTGAATCCTTCTAAAACTTGGCTTAATTGTCTTTCTANTACCCTCCCAAGGTGGTTTGCCACACTCCGTTTCCCTCTCATGTCTGTCTTCTCAAAGAGAAGCTGTGCGTGTCGTCTCCCTCCCCCACTCTCATGGCTCCCCATCACCCCTCAAGTTAAGAACCAAGTTCTCACCCTGACGTTTGAATCCTTCTGAAACTTGGCTTAATTGTCTTTCTGGTCTTGTGACTCATAATTTCTCTAGATTTCTATTTGCCTATTTCTCCTAGACATTCAGAAACTCCCTCTGATCAAACACACCCCCACCATGCTTTTGCTAGTTCTAAGCTGGTTACTTTTCAACTCCTTCTGTTGAAATTCAACCTGTCCTAGAAGGTGCTTCTCAAGCATAACCTGCTTCTCAGTCCCTCCCCAGAAACATCAGTGGAATATTCACTCATCCACTCATTCATTCACTGATTCATTCATTCCTCAGATCTTCACTGAGTACTACAGAGTTCCAATTCCCATGCTGAGTACAGAGGTGTAACGCTCAAAAAAAGAACACTGCCCCCTGGATTTTACAGTCTGTCAATGTGAAATTACAGCTACTGTGAATGTTATAAAGGGAAGGTGTGTGTTACTATAAAGTATATGAAAGATATTGGACCTAGTCAGGGATGTCAGATGTGCTCCTAGGAAAGTGACACTTAGAACTGATAATTAAAGAATGAGTACATCTGAGTAGGAAAAGAGGAAAAGGGCAGTGGTTAAATATGGATATGAGGATGGCATGTGCAAAGGCCCTGGGGCTAAAGCAGCACCAGCTTATTCAATACCTATTAACTGGTGTTAGAGATACAGTGGTGAGCATGGCCCATGCACAGGACTGAAAGAAGACCTGTAGCAGGAGCACGGAGAGTGACGGGGCATTAGGTTAACACTGAGGCCTTAGGGGTACTCCTGCTTTGTGGGCCACAGAAAAGACTGGTCTCTGTTCTAGAAGCAATGGGGAGCCTTCAAAGAGGTTTAAGCAGGAGTTGGTGAAGCGAGACAGGAAGATTATCAAATACACAAACTCCTCTGCTGAAACCCAACATGATGCCTAATTGATTTTTCTATATCATAGTGGGTGGGAGTAATGACCCACAACAGACCCATGGACCCCACCCAGAGCATGCTCCTGCCTTCCCATGTCTACTGATGACACCCCATCCTTGCATTTGGAACACCTAAATTGTCACTGACACTCCGCCTCCCCTGATGGGTCACTCGGTACAGTCCTTTCTCTCCCACCATCTCTTTCCCTCCATCCCTGAGGTCATATTTCACCTTGAACGTTTTCTGCCCAGCCTAACAAACAACAGTCTGGTAGTGGGTCTCCCCCCGCCACAAACTCACCCTCTATACACACAGCTCAGGTGAGCTGCTCAGAAACCCAGCCTAATGATGCACTTTCCTCGAAGAACATTCGGGGGCTCCCTACTGCACACTCGGAAGTTGAAACCTCTCAGCCTTGCAATCAGGTTTCTTAATTTTCCTGGCCCCAACCCACCTTGCTTCCTGCTCCCCTCTCAGAAGCAAAATGAACAGCCTGCAGGTCCCTGCGTGCGCCCTGTGCCTTCCCAGCTCTGTGCCATAGCTCAGGCTGTTCCCTTCTCCTCAAGTTCCCTACACTGTGCTCAGTCGCTGACTCTTCCACGGGGCCGCCACAGCTGAGTGGGACTCTGTACCCGAACTGCAAGGACATGTGCTTTAAAATATGACAGTGTTAACTGGCACATGACTCATCTCCCTGTGTCAGCAAGAAGGGCAGTCACCATTCCCGTCAAGTGAATGTTCTCTAGGAACATTTCCCTGGGGTATTTTAGGTTCATCTGTGCATCACAATGCCCCAGGCTTACAGTGATCACTGCACTGATTCTACTGTGCTGTAATTATCAGTTCATGAAAGGCTCCCCCGTGAACTTCTTGAGAGGATAGGTGCATCTTGGCCTCTCCAATCCTCAGCACAACGCCCAGCAATTAAATGAAAGAGCAAACAGCCCAGGGCTCTTGGATGTGTCACAGTCGCTGAAGACACTGTATTCCAAAGTGCCCCACACCAAACAAACACTTCAGACCCAGGCAGACACTGCTGGCCCCCTACAGTTGCCATTCTCTACCCCGCTTCCCCTTCGGGCAGGACGAGCCTGCTTCCCACTAAATTAATTCACTTTCCCAGCCTCCTTTGCAGCCGGAGAAAGGGCATGTGACCCAACCCTGGCCAAGGGGCTTCTCCATGGGGGCTGCTTAAAAAAGTCGTCTTCAATGAAAAGAGATGCTCTGGAGGAAACAGCCTGCTTTCTTTTTCTTTTGATATAATTTTAAACTTACTAAACATTACAAAAAGAGAAGAACTTTTCCCGAAACCATTTGAGGGTGTGGCTGACGCAAGGCCCCATCACCCCTGAATATTTTAGTGTGCAACTCCTAGAAACAAGAGCGCTCTCCGACATCACCACACACAGCCATCAAAACCAGGAATTAACATCTATCGGCCAGTCCTCAGACACAGCTCAAGTTCTGCCAATTGTCCCATAAGGTCTTTTATAACAAGAAGGTACAGCCCAGGATTACTTGCTTCATTCAGTTATCCTGTCTCTTCAGCCTTCTGTGATTTGGAAGAGGTCCTCGCTCCTTCTCTGACATTTATGATCTTGACATCTAAGAATATTCACGGCCACTTATTGCAAAGGATGCCCATCAAATTGGGTTTGTCTGATACCCTCTCATGATTAGATTCAGGTTACGCATTTTTGGCAGGAATGCCATGGAAGCAGTGCTGTTTGCATTGCCCCCTATCAGATAATAAAAGACTCTTTATTTGTTTTATTACTATTGATATTAATTTTAAACACTTGACTATGCTAGATTTTTCCAGTGTCAAGTTAATCTTCTCTTTGTATCTAATGAGCATTTTGGGGAAGGTACTTTGAGACTATGTTAATCTGTTCCTCATAAAAATTCCACCCACTGGCTCTTAGTATCCGTGGACGTTTCCCAACTGCCTTAATGATCACTGTAATAACTGCCCAGTGTTGATGTCTCTAATTCAATCATTCCTTCATTGTTTATTGAGTAGCATTCTAATATAAGGAAAAGCTCTATCATCTCCCCATTTATTTATTCATTTATTTATATCGGTTTGGAGTTATAGGTTTCTATTTTGTCAAATTGTTTTCATCTATTACTATCATTAGTTATTTTGATATTCAAATTGTTCCAAATTTGGCCAAAGAAAACTCCTTCAAGCTGGCTATGACCTTTTGACATGTCTTCATCATTTTTTAAGTGCAGTTTCACTTTCTGTCACAATAAGGAGTTCCCGGCTCATCTTGCATTTTCTTTACCCCAGCTTTGGAATCAGCCATTTCTCAGGGGGCTCCCTCTTCTTAAGCTGGGTGCTGCTGAGTTGAAACCCCTGGTACCATCTTAGAACCTTGAGACACGTGAACCAAGCCGGGAACAGGATTATGGGCTGAGAGTGAAACAGAGCTTAGGTCCTTGACTGTGTCGTTGAGCCAGTAAACTCACCTCTAGGCTTCTCGTTCCTTGAGAATTATTTCCTTATTATTTATGCAGGGTGATACAGTTCCCCATTGTATAACATATTTCCTCATCAGACGGTTTCCCATCAGCGGGGATCTTGTTAACTGTAGCCAAAAACAGTGTGACTGATACCCAAGGAGTTTCATGTTTCAGCTTGCTGTGAACTACACATTTCATTTGGGTTTTTAATCACGTTGGTCCCATGGAGACGCAAATGATAGTGACCTGAGTACTTGACTCACTGGGTTATCAGACTTTGGCTCCCAACGTTTGGCTTCAAATATGAGAAAGTTACACGAAAGACAAGGGTGCAATGGCATGTGTGCTGGCCACTGACATCTCCGCCTTTGCCAAGCCAAGGCTGCTGCTGCTGCAGGAAGTCGCGTGCTCGCCTTGATCTCAGCCGCTACTTGCAACCAGTCATCTCTACTAAGTTTGAAGCAAAATGATTTCTTTGTTTGATTCCATCCATT